TCCTCTGTTGAGAGTTCTCTGTTAGGTCTGTACTCCATTTTTTTTTAAAAATTGGATTATGTGTTCTTTTGGTGTCCAATTTCTTGAGTACTTTGTATATTTTGGAGATCAGACCTCTGTCTGATGTGGGGTTAGTGAAGATCTTTTCCCATTCTGTAGGCTGTCATTTTGTCTTGTTGATTGTGTCCTTTGCTTTACAGAAGCGTTTCAGTTCAGTTTCAGGAGGTCCTATTTATCAATTGTTTCTCTCAGTGTCTGTGCTGCTGGGGTTATATTTAGGAAGTGATTCCCTGTGCCAATGCGTTCAAGTGTACTTCCCACTTTCTCTTCTATAAGGTTCAGTGTGGCTGGCTTTATGTTGAGGTCTTTGATCCATTGGGACTTGAGTTTTGTGCATGGTGATAGATATGGGTCTATTTCCATTTTTCTACATGTTAATATCCAGTTATGCCAGCACCATTTGTTAAATATGCTTTCTTTTTTCCATTTGATATTTTTGCTTCTTTGTCAAAAATCAGGTGTTCAAAGATGTGTGGATTGATATCCGGGTCTTCTATTCAGTTCCATTGGTCCTCCTGTCTGTTCTTATGCCAGTACCAGGCTGTTTTCAGTACTGTAGCTCTGTAGTAGAGTTTGAAGTCAGGGATTGTGATGCCTCCAGAAGTTCTTTTATTGTACAGGATTGTCTTGTCTGTCCTGGGTTTTTTGCTTTTCCATATGAAGTTGAGTACTGTTCTTTCGAGGTCTGTGAAGAATTTTGCTGAGATTTCGATGGGCATTGCGTTGAATCTGTGGGATAAGATTTCTAAACTGTGCTGTGTGCTCAAGATTCATCCTCCTATTGGTGCTGTCTGTCACCCTCTCCTGCACCACCCTTGATCAGCGCCAGCGTAGGTCGTCCTCCTCAGCAGGGTCACTGCGCCTGCCTCAGGCTCTATCTTCAGAGTAGCCTCTTCTTTCACAGAGCGCTACTCCGCCCTTCCTCAGACTCTTCATTCTCCATCTCTACTGCTTGTTTGCTTTGTTCTTTTTCAATCTTTCCAGACTTTCCAGCAGAGAATCCACTTTTTGTTTTATCTGAGTCAGCTCCTTCTTAAAAAAAAAAAAGAAAAGAAAAGAAAAGAAAAGAAAAGTGCATTAGTTGCTTTTACAGAGAAGCTGGGTTAAGATTTCAGCATCACGTGGTGGCTCACAAACTCCAGTTCCAGGGGACTGATGCCCTCTTCTGTCCTCTATTGGTACTGCATTCACTGCATTCTCATGGTGTATAGACAGGCTTTTTTTTTTTTTTTTTTTTTTTTTTTTTTAGACAGGGTTTCTCTGCAGCTTTGGAGCCTGTCTTTGAAGAACTTGCTCCATAGGCAAGGCTGGCCTCAGGCTTGCCTTGACCTCACAGAGATCCACCCATCTCTGCCTCCTGAGTGCTGGGATTTAAATGCCACCACCGGCCGGCTGCATACACATGCTTTTAAACACTGTCTTAGGGTTTCTTTTTCCTTTTCTTTTCTTATTTATTTACTATGTATACAGTATACAGTGTGCTGCCTGCATGGATGCTTGCACACCAGAAAAGGACATCAGGTCTTATTACAGATGGCTGTGAGCCACCATGTGGTTGCGCTGTGAGCCACCATGTGGTTGCACTGTGAGCCACCATGTGGTTGCGCTGTGAGCCACCATGTGGTTGCTGGGAATTGAACTCAGGACCTCTGGAAGAGCAGTCAGTGCTCTTAACCTCTGAGCCATCTCTCCAGCCCCCTATCTTAGGGTTTCTTTACTGTGAAGAGATACCATAACCATGGCGACTCTTATGAAGGAAACTATCTCACTGAGGTAGTGGCTCACAGTTTCAGAGGTTCTGTCTGTTATCATCATGGTGGGACATGGTAGTGTGCAGGCAGACAACAGGAAGTGGTCCTCAAAGTCCCTGCCCACTGTGACACACTTCCTGCCGCAAGACCACAACCTACTCCAACAAGGCCACACCTCCTGATAGTGCCTCTCCCTTTGGGGGCCATTTTCTTCCAAACCACCAAGACCACCTATACACATAAAAATAATAACAATCTTTTTAAAGTCCACAATTCACGTTTTAGACTCAAGGCAATTTCTTATCTGTGAGAACTATTACAAATCAAGCTACACATTTGCAACAGACATTGGCACAGAAAGAAATATTCCTGTTCCAGGAGGGAGGAATGGGGGTCACAGTCAGGAATAATCAGACCAAGAAAGACAGGAACCCAGAAGGATACCCCCGGCCCCCACTCCATAACTGCATGTGTACCATCTGGAACTCGGCCAGAATCGTCTGGGCTACAAAATGGTCAGGTGATCTATCGTGGATTGAATGAGAATAGCTTCCACAGGCTTTGTTCAAATGCTCAGGAAGTTAGTGCAACTGTTTGGGAAGGGTTGTGGGTGTGGCCTTTCTGGAGGGCCTTGCTGGTGGTGTGGCCGTGATGCCAGAGGGGTGTGGCTTTCCCGGGGGGGGGGTGTCCCTGGGCTGGACCCCCACAGCAGGCCCAGCGTCTCTCTGCCTGCTGTCTGTGTACCAGCGTGTGAAGGACTTGGCTGCTGCTCCAGTGTCTATTTCCTGCTGCAGTCATCACGGATCATCTGAAGCTGAACGCCAGCCCCAGTTCCCACCCAGGTTTGCTGCCTGCCTGCAGTGTCTGTGGACCAGAACTGTTTTGTGTCTGCTGATTTCCTGACATCTTGAGTGTGACTTAGATTTTGCCTTCAAAGCCTCACACAGTGGACTCTCAGGGCCTCCCTTCAGGAACGCAGACCAGCACCAGATGGACAATGCTGACAGGGCAGGGTGGAGCCTGCTCTGATGCAGTGATCCATGTGCCCCGAATCTGGAATCCTTGACAGTTGGTCTTGCAGGAAACCTTCTAGAAGTTTCAGTCAGTCAGGTCCTCTCCTCTCAGGAGAATGAGCCTTTGTCTTCCCCACCGGCCTGCTCCCAAATAACCACACAATTTCACAATTGTGAAAGCTCGGCCTATGGTTTAGGCTTATTCCTAACTAGCTGTAATAACTTAACCCATTAGTAACCTATGTTCTGTCAAGTGGCTTGCTACATCACTTCGTACTGCCCACACTGCTTCTGCTGTGTCTGGCTGGTGATTCTGCCTTCTTCTTCCCAGAGTTCCCTCTGCCCTGAAGCTCTCCTATCTCTCCTGCCTAGCTATGACTGTTCAGCTTTTTATTACACCAATCACAACAATATACCTTCACCCTGTACAAACATCCCTCAGGGTGCCTTTCCCAGTGTCCCAATCAAGAGGGTGCAAGGGACATTTCCCTTAAACTCCAGTGAGTGGATGAGGGTGCAGGGGCTGCCTGTCCAGCTCCACAGGAGCCAGGCAGGGTGGTGCACACTCCAGCCTGGAGAGGAGACAGAATCAGCAGTCCTAGGTCTACACAGTAAGTTTGGGGCCAGTCTGGGCTTCATGAGGTGGCTGAGGTTATTGTTGGATTCTTTCTCTTAGTTCTTTGAGTTGGGATCTCGCAATGAGACCAGGTCCCCTGCCAACCCTTTCAAGGCAGGAATTAAAGGCAGATGGCCCTACCACGTGCAATTTATGTACATTCTGGATATGTGAAGGCTAGTCTTTTGCTCATGGGGTAAGGTCTTTAACTGCTGAGTGTCTCTGCAGCCCTTTGTTTGAATGTTTGCATGTTTTTGTTTAGTTAGATGGTAAGTCAGTTTTGTTTGCTTGGGTGGATGGTATGTTAGCGGGGGGTGCATGTGGCTGGCAAGCAATGAAGGGCAGGGAACAACTGTGGAACTGGCTCTCTCCTACTAGGGGTTGGGGAATAGTACTTTAAGCTGTGTAGCTTTTGTTTACGCTGCATTTGTTTAACTCTGCGAAGCTGTGATTCTTTGCCTGTCTAAAACACCTGATGGTCTAATAAAGACCTTGAAACAGTGCCAAGCTGGTTGACCAACCAGATGCCTAAGAACTGCTGGGACAAGGCTCAGTGTAAGCGTGAGGACCTGAATTCAAATCCCCAGAATCCATATAAAAAATGGCAGACTTTACCAGGGCATGGTGGGTCACACTTTTGATCTCTGTGAGTTACAGGCCAGCCAGGGATGCATAGTGAGACCCTGTCTCAGAATATGTATGGGGGCTGGAGAGAAGGCTCAGTGGTTAAGAGCACTGGCTGCTCTTCCAGAGGTACTGAGTTCAATTCTGAGCAACCACATGGTGGCTCACAACCATCTGTAATGAGATCTGGCACCCTCTTCTGGCGTGCAGGCATATATGGAGGCAGATTGTTGTATACATAATAAATAAATCTTAAAAAAAAAGAATCTGTATGAGGGGCAGGGTGCTGGAGAGACAGCCCAGTGGTCAGAATGTCAGCTGCTCTCACAGAGGACCTGCCTTTGAGTCCCAGAACCCACATGGTAGCTCACAATCATCCAGTTTCCAGGAATCTGATGTCCTCTGCAGTCACCAGGCAGCCACGTAGGATTAGACAAAACCCACACACTAAATAACATAGCCAGGCATGTCCTGGTAACCGCAGTGCCAGGAAGGTGGAGACAGGGATGCCTGGGGCTTGAGGGCCAGCCTAGCCTAGAGGGTGCGCCAGGCTCAGTGAGAACCTCTCTCAAAGACCAAGTGAAGGGTGGTGTGTGTAGCGAGGGAGGACACAGGGCAGTCTAATCCACACATCTGGTCATGTGGGGGCAGAATGACTAAAATAACCAAATCGAACGTTTTGGGACAGGTTTCACAGTCTGGCTGGGGATTTTAACACGTTCAGGCAAATAAAGAACGGGCACTCGGGGGAAGGCTCAGCTGGGCAGTCCATTCCTGAGAGCCATATGGTAAGGAGGAGAGAACCAACTCCCTTCAAGCTGTCCTGACCTCCACACATGAACCTACACACTATACAGACACATGTGTGTATGCACGAGTACACATAAACACATGTGCACACATGAAAGAAGTAAATGTAATAAAATTGAAAAGAAATGAAAGGAATTCTGTGTTTATTGCATCGGGGGCTTTTGGAAGCCTGGGGCCCTTAGCCTAGATGAGCCCCTTATCCCTCCTATGCATAGATGGGTCAAGGTGGGTGGGGTGGAGTGTGTGGGTGCCGGGGCACATCCTGAGTCGCAAGGGGGTGTGGCCGGTGGAGAGGCGTGTGAATCCCAGCCCTGGGACATAGCCTCCTCCATCCATGTGGGACTCCCTGTATCCTGAGATTCCCCGGAGGGACCCGGAAGGAGGCTGCAGGGCGAAGGGCACCAGCTCCAGGCCAGCCTGGGCTACAGCGATGAGTTCAAGAGCAGCCTGAGTGACTCAGGGAGCCCAGGTCTCAAAGAAAAATCCAAAAAGGCGGGGTACAGTATGTGCAAGCCTGGGTGTGGTCCCCAGTACATAAAAAAAAAAAACAGAAAAACCCCAACATGTGTGGTTCCTATAAGCACCTCTCTTGTCCCACGCACTCGGGTCAGCTGGGGACAGCCTCAGTCTTCACCCTTTTGGGGGGCCTCTGGGGTACAGGGCTGTCAGGCTCTGGCTTAAACATAGTGTGCACTGAGCCGTTGAGATGCACAGGGGGCTCAGCCTTGGGTGCAGCAGGGCGCGGCAGGGGCGGTAGGGCCTTGTCCAGCACGCAGGGTCCCTCCCAGGTGGGGATCTCCAGGCCCAGATGCTTCATGAGTTTGCTCATCACCTCGTCCACGTAGCCATGGATGCGCAGGTCGGCCTGGCGGTCCTGTCGGAGTGAGGGATAGTCAGGCGGGTGCAGAGGACACTGTAGGGGATATGGGGCCACAGGGCAGGGCACTGGCACATACGTGTTTTGTGGGCTGCAGATTGACAATGACCAGACGACCTCCCCGGCGCTTAGTGGCAAGGGGCAGGTTCCCACTGGGGCGGATCTGCAGCGAGGTGCCCAGGGTGACTGACAGGTCTGCGGTCCTGGGAGCAGGAAGCAGTGAGGGACTGGGGACGTGGCCAGGGTGGAGCCCAGCCTAGAATCCCCCCATAAGGGGATGGGGGCGTGGTCAGGGTAGAGTCCCTGCCTAGAATCCCCAGTGAGGGGGTGGGGTGGGGGGGTGGTGGTGGTCAGGGTGGAGCCCCGCCTAGAGTCCCCAGTGAGAAGCGGGCTCCGTGCCACGGGCTTGTTGAGTATACACAAATACCCCCTTCCCCAATACAGAGACTGAAAATAAGAACCAAACAAACCTAACCTTCCTGTGTCCCAGGTTCTCCTCTGCATCTATCCTGCCCAGGGCTGTGGGTGATGCAGGCGCCACCTCTGCTGTCCCACCGGAAGTTTATCCCAGGCCTGGGCAGCTGTCCCCACCCATTCCCACCCAGGGAGCTCCGGGTCACACCTGCTGGCCTCGTCAGCGAGCATCAGGTCCCGGTCAGGCAGCGAGTCCTCCCAGTCCAGAATGGTGTCCCTCAGCTCCCCCCTGTGACAGGTCAGGGAAGGGAGTCAGGGCCTTCACCTCCTGACAGGAGCAGGCTTAAGGAAAGTCACTCACCTACAAGCCCGAAGTCCCCGCGCCTTGGCCACCGTGCAGAGCCGGCCTGTGGCCTTCAGGCCCATGGTGCCCACGACTGTGTCTCTCACGTATTGCCTGGATGGGGAGGAAGGAGGGGATGAGCCCTTTTTGGTGCTCTTTCAAGAACCTGGGGGTGGTGTAACTAGTGTATTGGGGTACAGGCTCAACCCCTGAGCCACACAGCAAGAAAACAGCTGAGGGACAGGCAGAAAGATGGCTCGGTCTGGAAAGGGCTTGCCATACAGACAGGAAGCCCTGAATCTATGTGAGAAAGAGGGCTCGTGGAGTGGACTTAACTCTCCAGTGCTAGGGAGGCAGAGACGGGGACCCCAGGAGTTCGTTGGCCACTCAGCCAAACCAGTGATCGACAGTTCTGGAAGACTCTGCCTCAGAACACAAGGAGAGGCACTGAGTTAAGACACCTGACGCCGGCTTCTGGCACCCATACACTGGGAGCGAGCGGGAGGGAGGCAGCTAGGCCCAACATGATGGCTCACACCTGGGATTTCGGCGCCCAGGAGGCTGAGGCAGGAGGAAGGCAGGTTCCAGGCTAACCTGGACAACTTAAGGAGGTCCCCTTTGAAAAAGAGCCGCTGAAGAAGGTCCAGGGGCCGAGGCTCAGGGGCATGGCTCACGCCCACACCCTGGGGCTCTTGGGTAAGGCCATGCCATTGCACAGCCGGGAGCCACAGCAGAGTGGAGAAGGGAGAACCCCTCATTTCCAAGGGCATGGCTTGTGTCACCCTGTTCTGTAGTTTCTTGCTTGGGGGACTGTGAAGGTAGGCTTGCCTCCTTCTGGTTCGTCTGTTTTTATCTGACTGTCCCTGGGAACAAGGACATCTCCCTGCCTTCTGTAGGGGCATTTTAGGTTTTAGGATCCCTTAGCTGGCTGAGGGGGTGAAGGTGGAGGGAACGACCTGGTGGTGCCCCATCCTGGGAGAGCCTGGCAAAGCTTCACACACACACACCCCTCCCCGCCTACAGAGGCGACACTCACGTCTTACACTTGGGACATTCCTCTACGAACATGTTTCCGTGGAGCTCAGCCAGCTTGTCTCTGCGGAAGAGAAAGTGAGTTTGGAGCCTTCCTAAATCCTGAGGCTTGGTCAACTGCTCAGCCTGCCCCCTCCTCCAGGAAGCCTTCCTGAGCTGCTCATCCACAAGACCACGGACTTCTCATATCTAGGGAGGATGCCCTAGCCTGTGCCAGGCAGAGCGGACCTTGTCTCTTCAAACACACCAACACCTGCTCCCCACTACAAAAATCTGTTGGCCAGGGGGCTGGAGAGATGGCTCAGAGGTTAAGAGCACTGATGGTTCTTCCAGAAGTCCTGAGTTCAATTTCCAGCAACCACATGGTGGCTCACAACCATCTGTAATGAAATCTGGTGCCCTCTTCTGGCTTGCAGGCACATATGCAGACAGAACACTGTAAACAAAACAAATAAAAAAAAATCTGTTGGCCAATTTTATGTGGTGGCCTGTGTCTTTAACGCCAGCACTTGGAAGGCAGAGAGAGGCGGATCTCTGATTTCAAGGCCAGCCTGGTCTACAGAGCGAGTTCCAGGACAGCCAGCCCTACACAGAAAAATCCTGTCTCGAAAAATGGTTTTAAAAAAATCTGTTGGCTTTAGAGTGCCTGCCTAGAGTCCCCCAGTGATCAAGTGCTGGCCGCTTTGGGCTCTGAGCTCTTCCACTCTTTGCCTTTTCCCATCGCCAGTAAAATGCCCGTGAGCTCGGGCACCCGGGCTCCCTGGGGAGGAAGAGGTGCAGCTGAGCCCCGCACCCCCTGGTCTGCTTCCATCTGACCTGGGGAAGCCGGAGCGCACGTGCAGCCCGTCCACATTCTGGCTGACCAGGAAGCTGAGGAAGCCCCTGCGTTCCAGTTGTACCAGGGCCATGTGGGTCTTCGAGGGTCGGGCGCTCTCGAAGGTGGTGTCAAATTTGGGGGCCAGGCCACGCTCCTCCATGGTCCACACGCCATGGGGGCCTCTGAGGACAGCAAACAGAGGGAGGAGGACAAAACTCATTTTCCAGCTCACAGACGTCTCCTGTTAACACTGAAGTCAGTCCGTGCTGGGGATGCCGGGGTCCCAATGGTCCCCAGCCCTGCTCTTGGGTTCCTTCAGACCCTCTCGGGGAGAGGCAGGCAACCTGGTGGACAGCGGCTCTGTGGAGTGGGAAAGGCCTACGGGTAAGCAAACGCATGGGAGTTCACTGGGGCTGAGGTCCGGTTTCCCAGAATGCTTTGCTGTGGTCACGGTGATCCTATAAACCCCAACGGGTGGGTGGCCACGCAAAGGGTACATTTTCCAGCATCCCTTGCGGCTACTACATCATCTGGGTATGTTCTGTGTAATGGGCAGGTGACGCGTTCGCTGGGCCTTCCAGAGACCTAGGGGAACAGAAAGGTCGCTCTCCCACCTCACCTAGGTCCCAGAAGTATCAGCAAGAGCCCCTGCCTCAGTTTCCCCTCCTTGTTCACGGACCTGAAGTCGGGGATGCCAGAGGCGGTGCTGATGCCGGCGCCCGTGTGGAAGACCACGCTGGAGGACTGCCACATCAGCCTTGCCAGCTCCCATACCTTCCGCTCCAGCTCCTCCGGGGGGTCGAAGATCTGTGGGGTCAGAGGGCATGCAAAACGTGACTCCCGTGGGCGGGCTTCCTGCGGTCGGTGCTGTGACTCTTCCCCGCCCGTGGCCGGCAGGCGCCCACTTCCTTTCACTGCCTTCGGCTGGCGGCTCCCTGACACCCCGGTGACGTCACCTCTGACCCCTGACCTCAGATCACCCCTGTCTCTCCTACGTCAAGATGCAGTGGGATTTGTCCACAGGCTCCACGACCACGAGACGGGCCGGGCGTGAGGGCGCACACCTGCAACCCCAGCACTCAGGAGGCAGAGGCCGGGGATCTCTGTGAGTTCGGGGCCAGCCTGGGCTGCGAAGAGAGGCTCCTCTCCCACCTCCGCCCCCCGCATCTCAGAAACAGCAAAGACTGACGGCTCCACTCGGGGTCGCGAGGCCACGGGTGCCCGGGACGGGGTGCCGGCTTCCGGTCCTGCGGACCCGGTAGCTTCCCCGCCACCCTCGCCCCTTCTCGGAACCGGGGACCTCGGTGTCCCCCAGGACGCGCAGGGGGCGTCACTTCCCGCCCCCTCCTTGCAGGGAAGCCCTCCCCATTGTCTACATCCCGTGCTTCTCGCTGCTCGCGCCATGCCCCACTCCGCCGGGCCGCCCCCATCTGGGGTCATTCGGCGAGACGGACACCGCGGCCCTCACCTCGGGCAGCCCACACTTGCCCTTATCCGCGTACGGCGACAGCCCGGCTGCATAATTCACCGACATCGTCGTCGGCACCGCAGCACGGGAACAATAAAGTTTCCCTTGTTGAGGTGGCTTCCGCCGGAAGTGGGGAAGAGACGGCCCGGGAAGAGGAGCCGCCTCCTCGAGAGACCCGGGTGTGGAGGGGCCGGTGGCGGGAGGCGTTCTTTCCAAGGCGCGTGCGCGGCGCTGATGCCGTGGCCGCCATCTTTAGTGCTGGCAGAGACTACCTGGCCGACTGGAGAGCGTTCGCCCGGTCTGGCTGGGCCAATCCTGGACCAGAAAGTTGATGCGGCCGCTCGCAGGAACCGAGGCAGGAGGATTGCGAGTCCCAGGCCAGTCCGGCTGTGTAGAGAGACCCTGTTTCTAAAAAGAGACGCAATCATCAACAAAATCCATATAAATAATATAAAATATATAAAATATATAAAATCCATATAAATAGGCCTTTGCCAGTGGGCAGAGCCCAGCCCCTGGTGTCTACAACCGGTGCGGGCTTCGTGGCACCACAGGACAGCTCTTGGGTCTCTGCAGTGTGACTGTCAGCCCGTGTCTGCCTCTCTGTGGGCCACAGGATAGGATGAATGGGAACTTGGGTTCTCAGGCCTAGTAAAGACCCCCAGGACTACCTGCCAACATTTTCTCGGCTTTGTTTCTGGCGTGCATCCTCCGGGATAGCGCAGAGTTTCAGGGTCAGGTCGCTAGACCGGAGTGAGCCACATACTACACAGAGGTGCCGAGAGATGCCGAGAGATGGAGAAGGGGATACTGGGGGCACAAGGACCCCTATAATCCCCCGTCCCGTGGCCATTTATACAGTAGGAGCCACCATCCTGACCCTTGAGTCTGTTGGTGGTCACAGACAGACAGGACCAAACCATGGTGATGATGACTGGGGACCCGGGTGAGGGGCAGCACGTAACTACAGGAACCTCCTGATCCCCGTGGGGACCCAATGCGGGAGCGGACAGGCTGGAGGGAGAGGCGGTCCTCCGGGCTGCCCACCTGAGCAGGCTGGCCAACAACAGCTCATCTCGGCTCATCCGGTCCTCCAGGGCGGGTGCTCCCCCCCAACCTGATCGGGTATCACCCTGACTCCGCTGCTGGCAGCTCGCACCTGGAGCGGGTAACCAGAGAGGCTGCGGTGGACGAGGTGCTCTGGCCTGGAGTCGCCTGAGGTAGGGGGATGAGGCTGGGGGAGGCCACGGCAGACGCTGCCCTGGGTCCCGAGGAAGGGCAGGCCTGGGTCCTGGTGCTGCACCGTGGGGGACTGCCTGCGGCACCCTGAACACATGCACCTACGCACTCGAGACAGGTGCATGCGTCCCACCCGACAGCTGCGGCCCTGGATCAGTGCGCAGCCTCTACCCTGAACCATTGTGGGGACCCACAGGCCACTGGACCTGTGCTGCCGTCACCTCTTCTAGAGGGGAGACCCCTAAATCTACAGGCCTTCCCTGCCCCCATGTCGCGATTCCCTCCTGACTGGCAACCTGTGGACAATTCTCCTGGGTGTCCTGTTACTCACCCTTGGGTGTGATTGAACTTCATAGTTGGGGGGTGAGAGAGAACCGTCACACTGAGTAGCAGAGGGGGTAGGAAGGATGGACAGGTGGGTGTGTGGGTGGATGGATGGATGGACAGACGGATGGGTAGATGGATAGATGGATGGATGGATGGATGGGCACATGGATGGGTGGGTGGATGGATGGGTGGATGGATGGGTAGGTGGGTGGATGAGCGGATGGATGGACAGACGGATGGGTGGGTGGGTGGATGGATGGGTGGGTGGATGGATAGATGGATGGATAGACAGACAGATGGGTGGGTGGATGAATGGGCAGATGGATGGACAGACAAATGGGTGGGTGGATGGATAGATGGATGGGTGGGTGGATGGGCAGATGGATGGATGGATGGATGGATGGATGGATGGATGGATAGATGGATGGGTGGGTGAATGGGCAGATGGATAAGTGTATGGGTGTGTGTGTGGGTGAATGATGAGTGGAT